GTGCAAGATAACAGTGATTAATCAATCAATGTATTTTCTGTTAATCCTTTGATGACTAGGAACGATCCGTTGATTTACAAAAAAGTAAATCAACAGATCATTCATCTCTTGCTGGGCTGCCACATGCATATTACATAACTCACATTTCACCTCACTTCAAACCTGGATTTAGATTGAATAATTACCCCAGACACAATAAATGCCAAATGGGAACCTTTGTCAGGTATTCTGAGTGGTGCTACCACTAATTATACCTGTAATAAATTCATTAACTGACTATCAAGTGAATGACGACAAATACACAAGTATAGGGTTATACCAGAAAATGTGGATGACAACAAGGGAGAAGTAATCGTATTCTCGCCACAATCCGAAATACGAAAATGCTTTCACTGCATGGATACTTTTTTTATTATTAAACTATAACCATCTGGGATATTTCCAAATGACGACATCCGATGAGCTCCGCCGTTCTTTTTGTCTGTTTGTTTAGGCTGAAGAAATTAATTAACATGCGCCCTTTGTCAAAATCTTTATAGATCACAGTTAACCAATGAGTGTTCAAAAATGAGTAAAACAAATAATGCCTCCAAGTCCTTGCAGACGGTAGCCCAGTCTCTTGTCACGCTCAGTTGCGTTACGTATCATCCGGGTACTCACGGCGGGGGGAAAACAATAACAAAGGCAACAACCAGTCCCGGGGGAACTGCTTTAGATCAGTGCCCCTTTAAGGGTTCACGTTGATGTCCGCGCTGCTGGGCAAGTCAAACCTTCATCATCTTCACTCATCAGTAACAGGATGACAGTAACAGGCTCTCAGTCAACCTAATCCGTGCTTATGCTATGAAAACACAACAAATATATTTTAGCTATCTGTACTATTTTCTTAATTCACTTACATACATGAAAATAACAATCTCCCGTCTCCTCCTTTTGCATTATTTGGTAACTTTCAACTTGAAGACCTATTTGAAGCAGATCTAAATATGACACAGATTTACCTGGAGTAGACAAACTTGGTGACAAAGATGTCAGTATTTTGTTCAAAATTTGGATTTCTTAAAAGTTCATATTTTCCTAAATTCTGATATATTTTAATGCATGGAGTTACTTCCTACTTGCCCAGCAGCTGGTCGAGGGATGTTCCCCATCATGTTTGTTTAAGGTGGGGGCTCATCTCAGAAACTGTGGGGGACCTGTGGATGCTTGTAACACATAGATAGTGATTTGCAACACAACATGTGGATACATGTAGCAGGACTGGGTCTGATGCCCAACACATATATATTTTTTTGTTTATCCTAGGAGAGGTATATGTGGAGTGACCACAGTCCTTAGGTGTCCAGCATACAGCATGGCTGAGTACCCAAGCTGGCCATATAGACAAAAGGCTTGAGTAGGGAGAGGGCTGGGGCTATTGTGTTAGTTCACAGGGTGTGACATTCACAAACAAACCATGCAGTAAGCATGCTTAGTAAGAATGCCGTGACTGATAGTTTAGTGTTTAAAGTAGGCTGAGCAATAAAATAAAATGACTACAGCTGCATTTAATTATGTACATGAATTATACTTAAAAGTTAAAATATAAGAAATTTCAAAATAGGTAACTGCCACATACATACACAGTAGACACATGTTTCCTTCACATCTCAACTTTACATAATTCACACTGCAACTGCATATTGATAATCATCCACTGGTTTCAGACTAGCAAGAAGTTGTTTCCCCCCATTCAAGGGCATGGTCTTGGTTTCAATACATATTTGTCTTGGGGGGGCAACTGACCCATAAAAATATCACTTAATATAGGCAACAAATCTCTTCCAACTGAAGAACAAACTTCGGGAAACAACCAGCAAACAAATTTTAATTTAAAAAAAGCAAACTGGCAGCTGTTTCTAAAACTCTGCAATCAAACCGACACATTGTAAATACACAACACAGACATTGACACATTTAACCTTAATTTAACAAACAAATTACATAAAATTGCCATTAAATGTATACCCACCTAAAAACATAACCATACACACAACCCAGTACCTTGGTGGAGCACCGGAATAATAAATGCTAGAAAACAAACAAAAAAGGCTCTCAACAAATCTTAGACAGACTGTTCTAAGTGACCTTTAGCTATACAACTGAGAATTAAAACTAAACAACTAATCACAGCAGCTAGGTAAAATCACTGGCAAACTGTGTAACAAATTTAAAGCCATAAAAGATAACTGCAAACAAGCTATTTATCCCAATATCAAGAACCTTACCACAAACAAAGAAAAAGCTAATGCAATGGCTGCCCACATTTTTAAAAAACAAGCAACTCCACCAACTGCCCACCCCAATTTCAAAACACCATCAATAAACAGCCAAAATACACTTAAAGACCAGACTACACACTTCTCCCAATAAACAAGATAATAAACATACATGAATTACAAACAGCAATTGAAAACCAAAACACAGCCTGAGCCACAGGACTAGATGACTTTAGTTACAGTATACTTAACAAAATACCAATTAAAATACAAAACATACCACTACAACTTCCTAATCAAATATGGCTAACAGGCACCACAGCAACACAATGGAAACATGCTCAGGTAGTACCAGTCCTCAAACCGGGGAACCCCCAAAGCAAGCCTGACTCCTACAGCCCCATCTCTCTTACTTCCCACATTTGTACAATCATGGAATCCATAATTAATAGCAGGCCTAATGTCGAAATTTCTACCAAAAAAAAACCTATTTAGTCCTGACCAGAGTGGCTTCACACCAAATAGACAAAAGTTTAGACCATTGTTTACATTTGGAACAAGATATTCGAACAGCACACGCACAAAAACAATACACATTGGCCATATGCATAGATTTTAGCAAAGCTTTCAACATCCCCAAACCAGACAATAAGCTTTAAACAGGCACATTCTAAATTTCATACACCCCATAAGGTAGCATATTGTCACCGACTCTCTTTAGTTTCATGATCGCTGACATTTTTTCCAAATTCAGCCCAAAATACAAATATTTCAACTGCAAAATGTTCAGATGACATCTCCTTTGGGACTTCATCCACTTTAATAACACAAGGAAAACTAAAATACAATCTGCTCTAAATGGCATTCAAATATGATCTACCCAATGGGGATTTCAAATAAATACTAAAACTACAATTGGCATGCTCTTTAAAAACACATTAATGAAAAATTATGCACCCAAACTGCACTTTCATAATGAAGAAATTACTTTCCAAAAAGAGGCAAAATTCTTAGAAGGTTACATTCGACCAACATCTAACATGGACACCCCATATTCAAGATCTGGTCAAATCATGTGAAAAAGATCTAAACCTAATGTGGGCCATCAATCCAAACTTGATTATGCCACTCCGGTCTTTAATGGCATAACAAACAAGAATAATGAGATTGTAAACTCACTGCAATATAAACCCCTTAAAAGAGCCCCTTGTGGACTGGTACTGCACTTAACATACTGCTATTAGTGTCAGGCATTACGTCTTTAAATAACAGAAGACACCAAAATCAGCCTAATTACTGGGCTGAGGCCGAACACAACCCTATATATAAACTACTTACAACTGACTATAACAATATAAAAATCTCCACAATTAAATAATTCAAAACAAAGCCCCCATACCTAACACACTTACACAAACTACTTCAAACCCACAACCTAAACAACTTAAAACACACTCCCCCACTACAACACTATATACATAAGCCACCACCCAACACGGACACCTCTCTACATAACATACTACAAGCACAACCCAACACAGACACCTCTCTACATAACATACTACAAGCACAACCCAACACAGACACCTCTCTACATAACATACTACAAGCACAACCCAACACGGACACCTCTCTACATAACATACTACAAGCACAACCCAACACAGACACCTCTCTACATAACATACTACAAGCACTACCCAACATCTCCCAAACAGAAAAAAACAACAATAACACTTAACTGTATACAATTAATCTGTCCATCTCATACACACATATACACAGATGCTTCACAAAACACCAATAAATATACCGGCATAGGTATCCATGTAGACCAACCCCAAGTAATAACTACTAATTACATTATAAAAACACTGCCGAATTACTGGCCATATCAGCAGCCCTTCACCAAGACAAAACCTAGGTCAAACCAACTTTCTCATAATTTCAGACACCCTTTGCTCAATAAAACAAATCCAAAACAAATACTCAAAAACCCGACACGACCTAATAAACAATATCATACAACTAACTTCAGAATTAAAATCAGATAATAAAACAGTTAATCCACTATGGATACCCAGCCACTCAAACACACATGGTAATGACATAGCAGACACAGCAGCTAAACTACCAACTACAAACCCATTCAATTTTACTTCATCAAAGGCCGACATGAAATCAAAATTCAAAATTTCCCAACCCTTATTCCAAATTCTAACTCTAACTGGATCAAAACACTCTTCACTAGACCCATGAATAAGTGCCACAATTTCAACCTTTTGAACTTTCATGATAAAATAATATCCCATATCATTGGCGGCAACACAAGACAAAATTATACACTTTAAAGGCAACATAGACACATAAATTGTAATTGCAGCCACTGTCACTCACCTGAAGATCTTAATCATGTTATTAATAACTGTGCTTTCTATAGCACCTTCCACACTTAACTTTATCACTCTAGCCCTTCTCACTATAAACACAATATTTACTCTACTCTTCAGCCCCTTCAACCCTCCCACAATCTTCAACACAATCCTACAATTTATCCACAACACAAAACTCACAGAAAAGTTTTCGACCATCCCCAACAAACGCAACCTTAAACCTCTCTAAAATAACAACATTTTCTCATTTAGGATTGTGATCCAAATTTCCAGCACGGATTGTCTTCTATGGTGTCCAGCACCTAATCGCTCATATCCATACTACTAAAGCAGAACCCCTATAACCCAGGACAGCCAGCTCACTCTCTGCCACCAACAACCACCACCTTATCTCACCTCCCTGACTCCCCCAACAACAACCACCACCTTATCTCACCTCCCCGACTCCCCCACCAACAACCACCACCTTATCTCACCTCCCTGACTCCCCCACCAACAACCACCACCTTATCTCACCTCCCTGACTCCCCCACCAACAACCACCACCTTATCTCACCTCCCCGACTCCCCCACCAACAACCACCACCTTATCTCACCTCCCCGACTCCCCCACCAACAACCACCACCTTATCTCACCTCCCTGACTCCCCCACCAACAACCACCACCTTATCTCACCTCCCCGACTCCCCCACCAACAACCACCACCTTATCTCACCTCCCTGACTCCCCCACCAACAACCACCACCTTATCTCACCTCCCTGACTCCCCCACCAACAACCACCACCTTATCTCACCTCCCCGACTCCCCCACCAACAACCACCACCTTATCTCACCTCCCTGACTCCCCCACCAACAACCACCACCTTATCTCACCTCCCCGACTCCCCCACCAACAACCACCACCTTATCTCACCTCCCCGACTCCCCCAGCCCAAACTTTCTAGACTTCGGCGAGGCTTTATTACGATTTGTATTTCATTAGTAGGCCCCCATATTACTCAACAGCTTAACTGTTTCATACTAACTTTGCCCACTGTGCTGTACAAGTATGTAATATATACTGTAGCATTATAGTAGGCGCCCATATTACTCAACAGCTTAACTGTTTCATACTAACTTTGCCCACTGTGCTGTACAAGTATGTAATATATACTGTAGCATTATAGTAGGCCCCCATATTACTCAACAGCTTAACTGTTTCATACTAACTTTGCCCACTGTGCTGTACAAGTATGTAATATATACTGTAGCATTATAGTAGGCGCCATTTATGTTAGTCTAAACTTTTCTAACACTGTTTATTTGACTTCTTTCTATTGTAGGGTGGTGGGGTAGCTTCGTGGTTAAAGCATTCACTTGTCATGCTGAAGACCCGGGTTCGATTTCTGGTGTCCCCCGCCATGATATTGATGGAATATTGCTAAAAGTGGCGTAACACCATACTCACTCACTCTTCAGTGTCTCGGTCTAGTTTTTGTTCAGTTTATTTTCCTTAAAAACATCATGCAATGTTTCAACATAATATTGTATTATCTTCTGATTTGTCAATATTTGTCCTTCCAAAAGAAATCAGGGGATATATTTATATTTTGATGAAATGTCTTAATGTGACATGTGACGTGTGACATAGTCCTCCAGTACGACATGATCCTATAGTGTGACATGATCCTATAGTGTGACATGGTCCTCCAGTATGACATGATCCTCCAGTATAACATGATCCTATAGTGTGACATGATCCTATAGTGTGACATGATCCTATGGTGTGACATGGTCCTATAGTGTGACATGATCCTATGGTGTGACATGATCCTATAGTGTGACATGATCCTATAGTGTGACATGATCCTATGGTGTGACATGATCCTATAGTGTGACATGATCCTATGGTGTGACATGATCCTATAGTGTGACATGATCCTATAGTGTGACATGGTCCTCCAGTATGACATGATCCTCCAGTATAACATGATCCTATAGTGTGACATGATCCTATAGTGTGACATGATCCTATGGTGTGACATGGTCCTATAGTGTGACATGATCCTATGGTGTGACATGATCCTATAGTGTGACATGATCCTATGGTGTGACATGATCCTATAGTGTGACATGATCCTATGGTGTGACATGATCCTATAGTGTGACATGATCCTATAGTGTGACATGGTCCTCCAGTATGACATGATCCTCCAGTATAACATGATCCTATGGTGTGACATGATCCTATAGTGTGACATGATCCTATGGTGTGACATGGTCCTATAGTGTGACATTCTATGGTGTGACATAGTCCTCCAGTGTAACATGATCCTCAAGTATGACATGATCCTCCAGTATGACATGATCCTATAGTGTGACATGATCCTATAGTGTGACATGGTCCTCCAGTATGACATGATCCTCCAGTATGACATGATCCTATAGTATGACATGATCCTCCAGTATGACATGATCCTATAATGTGACATGATCCTACAATATGACATGATCCTCCAGTATGACATGATCCTCCAGTATGACATGATCCTATAGTATGACATGATCCTCCAGTATGACATGATCCTATAGTGTGACATGATCCTCCAGTGATCCTCCAGTATGACATGTTCCTCCAGTATGACATGATCCTATAGTGTGACATGATCCTATAGTGTGACATGATCCTCCAGTATGACATGATCCTATAGTGTGACATGATCCTCCAGTATGACATGATCCTCCAGTGTGGCATGGTCCTCCATTATGACATGATCCTCCAGTATGACATGATCCTATAGTGTGACATGATCCTCCAGTATGACATGATCCTATAGTGTGACATGATCCTATAGTGTGACATGATCCTCCAGTATGACATGATCCTATAGTATGACATGATCCTCCAGTATAACATGATCCTATAGTGTGACATGATCCTCCAGTATAACATGATCCTATAGTGTGACATGATCCTCCAGTGTGACATGATCCTATAGTGTGACATGATCCTTTAGTGTGACATGGTCTTCCAGTATGACATGATCCTCCAGTATGACATGATCCTATAGTGTGACATGATCCTATAGTGTGACATGGTCCTCCAGGATGACATGATCCTATAGTGTGACATGATCCTCCAGTATGACATGATCCTCCAGTGTGGCATTGTCCTCCAGTATGACATGATCCTCCAGTATGACATGATCCTATAGTGTGACATGATCCTCCAGTATGACATGATCCTATAGTGTGACATGATCCTCCAGTATGACATGATCCTCCAGTATGACATGGTCCTATACTGTGACATGATCCTATGGTGTGACATGATCCTCCAGTATGACATGATCCTATAGTGTGACATGATCCTATGGTGTGACATGGTCCTATAGTGTGACATCCTATGGTGTGACATAGTCCTCCATTGTAACATGATCCTCCAGTATGACATGATCCTCCAGTATGACATGATCCTATAGTATGACATGATCCTCCAGTATAACATGATCCTATAGTGTGACATGATCCTCCAGTATAACATGATCCTATAGTGTGACATGATCCTCCAGTGTGACATGATCCTATAGTGTGACATGATCCTATAGTGTGACATGGTCTTCCAGTATGACATGATCCTCCAGTATGACATGATCCTATAGTGTGACATGGTCCTCCAGTATGACATGATCCTATAGTGTGACATGATCCTCCAGTATGACATGATCCTCCAGTGTGGCATTGTCCTCCAGTATGACATGATCCTCCAGTATGACATGATCCTATAGTGTGACATGATCCTCCAGTATGACATGATCCTATAGTGTGACATGATCCTCCAGTATGACATGATCCTATAGTATGACATGATCCTCCAGTATAACATGATCCTATAGTGTGACATGATCCTCCAGTATGACATGATCCTATAGTGTGACATGATCCTCCAGTTTGACATGATCCTATAGTGTGACATGATCCTCCAGTATGACATGATCCTGTAGTGTGACATTCTATGGTGTGACATAGTCCTCCAGTGTAACATGATCCTCAAGTATGACATGATCCTCCAGTATGACATGATCCTATAGTGTGACATGATCCTATAGTGTGACATGGTCCTCCAGTATGACATGATCCTCCAGTATGACATGATCTTATAGTATGACATGATCCTCCAGTATGACATGATCCTATAATGTGACATGATCCTACAATATGACATGATCCTCCAGTATGACATGATCCTCCAGTATGACATGATCCTATAGTATGACATGATCCTCCAGTAGGACATGATCCTATAGTGTGACATGATCCTCCAGTGTGACATGATCCTCCAGTATGACATGTTCCTCCAGTATGACATGATCCTATAGTGTGACATGATCCTATAGTGTGACATGATCCTCCAGTATGACATGATCCTATAGTGTGACATGATCCTCCAGTATGACATGATCCTCCAGTGTGGCATGGTCCTCCATTATGACATGATCCTCCAGTATGACATGATCCTATAGTGTGACATGATCCTCCAGTATGACATGATCCTATAGTGTGACATGATCCTCCAGTATGACATGATCCTATAGTATGACATGATCCTCCAGTATAACATGATCCTATAGTGTGACATGATCCTCCAGTATAACATGATCCTATAGTGTGACATGATCCTCCAGTGTGACATGATCCTATAGTGTGACATGGTCTTCCAGTATGACATGATCCTCCAGTATGACATGATCCTATAGTGTGACATGATCCTATAGTGTGACATGGTCCTCCAGTATGACATGATCCTATAGTGTGACATGATCCTCCAGTATGACATGATCCTCCAGTGTGGCATTGTCCTCCAGTATGACATGATCCTCCAGTATGACATGATCCTATAGTGTGACATGATCCTCCAGTATGACATGATCCTATAGTGTGACATGATCCTCCAGTATGACATGATCCTATAGTATGACATGATCCTCCAGTATAACATGATCCTATAGTGTGACATGATCCTCCAGTATGACATGATCCTATAGTGTGACATGATCCTCCAGTTTGACATGATCCTATAGTGTGACATGGTCTTCCAGTATGACATGATCCTCCAGTATGACATGATCCTATAGTGTGACATGATCCTATAGTGTGACATGGTCCTCCAGTATGACATGATCCTATAGTGTGACATGATCCTCCAGTATGACATGATCCTCCAGTGTGGCATTGTCCTCCAGTATGACATGATCCTCCAGTATGACATGATCCTATAGTGTGACATGATCCTATAGTATGACATGATCTTCCAGTATGACATGATCCTATAGTGTGACATGATCCTCCAGTATGACATGATCCTATAGTGTGACATGATCCTCCAGTGTGACATGATCCTATAGTGTGACATGATCCTATAGTGTGACATGGTCCTCCAGTATGACATGATCCTATAGTGTGACATGATCCTATAGTGTGACATGATCCTATAGTGTGACATGGTCCTCCAGTATGACATGATCCTATAGTGTGACATGATCCTCCAGTATGACATGATCCTCCAGTGTGGCATTGTCCTCCAGTATGACATGATCCTATAGTGTGACATGATCCTCCAGTATGACATGATCCTATAGTGTGACATGATCCTCCAGTATGACATGATCCTATAGTATGACATGATCCTCCAGTATAACATGATCCTATAGTGTGACATGATCCTCCAGTATGACATGATCCTATAGTGTGACATGATCCTCCAGTTTGACATGATCCTATAGTGTGACATGGTCTTCCAGTATGACATGATCCTCCAGTATGACATGATCCTATAGTGTGACATGATCCTATAGTGTGACATGGTCCTCCAGTATGACATGATCCTATAGTGTGACATGATCCTCCAGTATGACATGATCCTCCAGTGTGGCATTGTCCTCCAGTATGACATGATCCTCCAGTATGACATGATCCTATAGTGTGACATGATCCTATAGTATGACATGATCTTATAGTGTGACATGATCCTCCAGTATGACATGATCCTATAGTGTGACATGATCCTCCAGTGTGACATGATCCTATAGTGTGACATGATCCTATAGTGTGACATGGTCCTCCAGTATGACATGATCCTCCAGTGTGGCATTGTCCTCCAGTATGACATGATCCTCCAGTATGACATGATCCTATAGTGTGACATGATCCTATAGTATGACATGATCTTCCAGTATGACATGATCCTATAGTGTGACATGACCCTCCAGTATGACATGATCCTATAGTGTGACATGATCCTCCAGTGTGACATGATCCTATAGTGTGACATGATCCTCCAGTGTGACATGGTCCTC